CAACATCATCTCACATTGTCCTTAATTTCTGGTGCATGTAGAAATGACAGTTTTTCAGCATATGTTTTCAGTATCTCTTTTCTTGGTAATTGCTTAGTTTTTCAATCTGTGAGCCAAAATTCAGTATGGTAAACTTTAGTCTTGTGGTGTGTGATCATGTTTTGGTAATACATTTGGAGGTTGGCTATTGTAATTGAAAACAACCGTTTCAGCCACACTATTTGGCCTTTCCTGTAAATCAGCAGTGATCCATTGCAAATAAAATTAAGGTGGCAACTGTGTAAATTAACAGTAATGTCTCAAACACTGTTGTTTATTTTCTAAGGATTTCTGTTTTATCCAGCAGAGGATTGTATTTGTTAAACATTTAGCCGGAAAAGCATTTCTGTTGCCTTCAAATCACCTGAGACTTTTCTGACAGTATATTTATAGCTTTTCTTGGTTTATCTGTAACTTGCCAAAGTAAACATGCAAAGGTTTAGTCATCATGTGTTTATCAGTTGTTGTAAATATACAGTACAGAAATCTGTGCAATATAGTTGCTATTGATATTTTTACTGCCTCATGATTTCATCATAAACAGTACGACTGTCTAACATGTTATGTCTGTCTTTTTGCCTGGGTGAAATTCATATTTATAGAGGGGTAATAAAAGACCATAGATATCACAAATGCAGTACAACATCAGTTATTTCTTCTTCAGGCTACATGAATAGCCTGAAGAAGAAATTATTTATTTATATTATTTCAACTTAAATGAATATTCAAACTAGTTCATGAGGAAATTCTATTTGTTTCTTGTCAATGAATTGGTCAAACCAGTTCATAAAATATATTGGTATGAACAATTCATTAATGAAACCATCTTAAATTCATCAAGTGCATTCATTGAAAAGTCATGAGAACTCTGCCTTGTACATCTAATATGTATTTAACCCAGAATATTTCTGTAATATTTTGTAAAAGTTGAAGCTTCGTACTAAAGGTCTTATACTTCACAGGCAGTGGATAATGAGTATTGCTGGCACCAAAATGCCATGACACCATGGAGTCTGAGGACTAGATTGGAGGACCCAGGGAGAGGAACACCCCCTTTTTATCTAGCTCTACATCATTTGATGAACCTTGGAGATCAGAAAACACTTCTAGTCCTTTTTTATTCCTGGGCCGGACACGCAGTGTCCCTGAAGCTCTCCATTGCTACAGTAGACCAACTTTACGGTCAAGCTTCTCCTCGATCACCATCACCGCTCGCAGT